GGTTCTCTGAGGGGCAAAGTTGGAGATGAGACGAAGTCATCCATTTCCCAGGTGTGAACGTCTAAAAATCTTTTAATTTAAAGAATACCAGCATGGACACAGTAGTATTACATGTGTTTGCAGTTACTAGAAAAGAAAACTGAACTAATAATAAGTCCTTCTAAAAATATTTTTATGACAAGTTTATTCAAATATAATTCACGTATCGTAAAATTCATAAACTGTTCATTCTGTGGTTTTGAGCATATTTGGAAGGCTATGTGACCATCACCAATAACTAATTTCAGAGCAGTTTCATCCGCCCAAAAGGAAGCCTGCGTCCATTCAGTCACGCCCACTCCCTCCTGCCCCACGGCCGCCTCGCCCCAGCAACGGTTAATACTAGTCTACTTTCTGGCTTTATATATTCGCCTGTTCTAGACATTTCATGTAAGTGGAATCATACAGTATGTGTCTGGCTTCTTTCACTGAGCACAACGTTCACATCACGCTAAATGCTATAGCAGTGTTACTTCATCTATACTGTAGTATGTATTAGTACTTCATTTTTTTAAATGTCAAATTCTATCGTATGGCTATACCACATTTTGCCCATCCGCTCCCAATAATATATCGTAGTATGTCCCATCCGCAATGATGATACGCCTTAGTTACAGGATCCCAAAAACCACTAAGTAAGTCTTAACCGTGCAGGACTAGCAGCCTTCCTCGTCTACGTGAAGTTATCTCCCTCCCGAGTTAACGCTTCAGCTACTCAGCCTCTCAGCGCGGCCCCAACTCGCCGTCGCCGCCGTAACTGCCCGTGAGTCGCACACGCACCGGGGTTTGCGCCCATCTAGCGGCAGCCTCCTTTGCCACCTGCGGAGCCCCACGCGTCCTCCGTGGGCCGGCAGCGCTCCCTCACCGTCCGCACGAGCAGGGCCGAGGCTGGGGACGCGCAGGGCAGCCTGCCGCGAAGCTCAGCGCGATTTCTGGCAGGGTCTGCGGCAGGGAAATAATCCGGCTGGGCAGAGGCGAAAGCCGGACAAACAACGGGCGTGGTTCACTCACTGGAAAAGAGGCGCAGGAAAGAAAGTAGAATGTATGCCCTTTCATAAAGGAGTCCTCGGCCTGGTAACAAACTGGAAGTTCACGGGGCGGGCAGGGGTGGGGCGCAGACTGAGGCGTGTTTCTGAACAGCGTGACGACTGCCGAAAGCGGGCGCCAGACGTTGGGAGGCGCGGAGCGCAGGGAGCAGGGACGGGGCAGCTTTGCAGGACCGCCCGCGTGGTGGCCTCTCTGGGCGTCTCCGGGAAGGGCGCACCCTGTCGACCGGGCGCAGGCGGCTCCTGCCCGGGCTGCGAGGACCACATGCGTCCGAGCGCAGCCTGCCCCGGCGTGAGCGCGCCGTGTGCGCCGCCCGCTGAGGGACGGCGGCCAGGCGCCTCCTCAAGAGACTCGCAGACCACAGGGACGCACTCGGACCT